CTTCTTCTCTTCTTCTCCTTGTCTGACCCCTTTGTCAGTTGGAAACCATTCTGTTTCTCCATATTGTATCCTAACAGTAGCTTCTTGTTCGTACAGGATGTGCATCATAACAATCAGATGCTGTGGCACACCCATTTCTTTTAAAACCAGCCATAGCTTCCATGATCCACACAGTCAACAGCTTTGCTGTAATCTATGAAACACACACTGATTTTCTTCTGAAATTCTCTTGTATGCACCAGTAACCAACATAAATTTGCAATATGATCTGTAGTGCCTCTTTCTTTTCTGAATCCAGCTTGAACTTATGGCTGGTCTTGTTCCATATATGGTAACAGTCTTTTTGGACTGTAAATTAAGTGAATAACAAAAATAACAATCCCAAATTTTCATTAACTGGGAAAAAAACCCTCCCCAATTCTGAGCTGGTAACAATACTCCCAAAAATCATAATACCAAAACAGTTCCCTTTCCAAAATTCGGACCTGAAATTAATATGAACATTTTTGAAATGGACACCCCTAAAGCAAGCACTCTGTCACCGAGCCATGACCCCCTACCGATAACTAAGAACAGGCAGTCCTCAGAAAATTTCGATAAAAGGAGAAAAGTAGGAATTTTCTTTTAAAAGAGGGATATTTTGCCTTGAGAAGGTCTCTGGACAGGTGGCATAACACCTTTGCCCTTCCTCTCCTGGGGATGTTTGTATTTTAACAAAGGCAAGGGACCCAATCTATTCTTGTTGCATTAAAAAATACTTGTACATGGCTGGCTCCACCAGCAGGTTTGTTTTCCAAACATCTTTCCAGACCGGGTCGCGTAGGGGATTAACAGAACCTGCACGGGGGGGGGGGGGGGGGGGGAGAGGGCAGGAGAGGAACGTAAAAGAACAACTGTTCTGTGGAGCAGGGGAGCCCTGCGTGAAGCCTTCGAAATTAATGTTAGTACAAACGTATTTGAATGAGGAATGGAAACATTCTTGAGGTTTCTGATATTAATCGGTGAGATGGAAAGCTTTAAAGCTATCTGGGGTGTTTTGATTAACAACTCCTCCTCTCGCTGAAAACAGATAGCCTTGGGAATCAGTCTTCTTAAGGTATTACACCTAATAGAAACGGCTTAAAGGGGATTACCCAGAAGGGACCTTTGTGAATCTCTCGGAGCCTATCTGGGGCCAGAAGCCGGAGCCTCCCTAGCAAGTTAATAAAACCCTTCAAAGTCTGATAAGAGATGGGAATCCTCAGCCTGTTCCCAAAGCGACATTGACCAGGTCTGGATTATTTGCTAGGATATCAATTATTCTGTAAACATCTACCTTGGGGACACGGACACTGTGTGATCATAAAACAGGACAGAGAATGGAGCTTTTCTTTTTTTTAAAAAAGCACTGAATTTTTCTATATTTGCCAAATCAGGCTGACTATCAGACACTGTAATTACATTAACTAATTTACAAAGCATCCATATTAGTAAGAGTAGATTAAACCTCTATCAGGACTAACTAAAACTTCACAAAATAATGAACAGGGTTTTTTGAGCTCACCAGAACTATTTTGCAGGCTCACGGCTAATAGAATTGGGAGGGAAGGACACAGATGCTCAGCGTGATGGAAATCCTAATTGTAACAGTTTTGAAGATGGAGTGCAAAAGAAGTATTATGGAGATTTATTAATTAGGTTAGGCTGTGTCTGGTGAAAACATTTCTCAAGTCGCAGCTGGGCATGGCCAGGTGAAGGCACAATAGTCCCCCCCCCCTCCATCATTTGAATTGGTCTCCAGTGTTAATTGGAACTCATGGGTCCCTTGTAGGCAGACAGCACAAGTAAAGAAAACATGATAAGCCTTATATTAGCAAAGGTGGAGATTAATTTTAGATGGATCTTTCAGAATGGAAGCCAAATTGGGTAAGGCTACCTTGTAGTCTTCCCCATAGACAGAATTCAGCCATTACGGTGGAGAAGGTCCTCTTCTACCAATCTGCACTGCAACTGTGCCTGAAGTCTCAGGCAAGAAATGATGGTTTCAAAATGAAACTGAACATTAAAACATATAAAAATAGAACAAGCAGAAATATTTTTATACTGCAGGCTGAAATAGCCCCATACCAGTTTAAACGTGACGCATGTCCAAGTACAGAAACACCCTATCATGAGATGTTGCCAAAGCTTGTCATTCTGAACTGAAAACTATTTAGCTTCTAGTGCTCGGCTGTACTCCAAATGGAATGGGATGTCCCCTGTCGGTTATTCAGTAGCTCAGACTATAAATGAGATTCTGCACATGAGTAGCTTTCCAGGCACGTGTGCAGACATTCTTTGCTAGGCCCCTGGCGCCTGACAAAAGCTCTTGAGTGCTGTGAGCTACTTGACCAGGTTCATTGGACAAGACTCACCGGAAAGGACAATCGTGCTAGGAAAAGTTGAAGGCAGCAGGAAAAGAGGAAGACCCAACATGAGATGGATTGGCTCAGTCAAGGAAGCCACGGGCCTCTGTTTGCAAGACCTGAGCAAGGCTGTTAGCGAGAGGGTGCTTTGGAGGTCATTAATTCATAGGGGCACCTTAAGTCAGAAACTTCTTGACGGCACATAACACACACACACACACACACACACACACACACACACTCTTGAGCCGACCTCCTGACCAGGCAACTTTTTGACTGGGACCTATTTGACTCAATTCTTTAATAGTTGCTACCACTTGTACAGCTCTAAGATGGTCTCTTGTTCCCATATATGTCTTTGGGTGGAAGGGGCATTGTGGGGGCAGTTCAATTTCCCACAGCTCATTGCCATGGTTGAAGCTGGAAACTGCGATTCACAGGGCACAATACAATAAGGGCCCAGAATGGAGCATGTTCCAGCACTGGAAGGCAGAAGAGGACTCTGGGAAACATACAACTCTTTTTCCAACCAAAGAGCAAACTTGTAAATACTGAGATCATTTTGCATCAAGCTGAGGACACTTTGCCCTCGAGTAGTCCGTCATGCACAGTTGGACTTAAGCAGAAGTTAAGTAAACTACAGCTTAGGGCCTCAGTTTATCAGATTAAGAGATGAATGAATGAATGAATGAATGAATGAATGAATGAATGAAATAACAATTTTGGGGTAATGCCACAAAGCTTCTTGCCATTAACCTGTCAGATCTCAGATCTCAGAAACTAAGCAGGATCAGCCCTGGTTAGTACTTGGATGGGAGACCACCAAGGAAGTGAAGGGTTGCTACGGAGAAGCAGGCAGTGGCAAACCACCTCTGACCCTCTCTTGCCTTGAAAGCCCTATGGGATTGTCATAAATTGGCTGTGACTTGAGGGCCCTTTCTACCACCCTGGGGCCTCTTAAACTTGACATATGTTAGGGCCTCAGCATGACTTAATCTGCCCCTGCTGCCATGTTCTGAGGACAGAGCTTCATGTGCCCACTAAGACCAGCTCCTTGTGCCTTTGTACATTTGGGAAGTGACTGACGACTTTTGCCTCATTGAGCTTGAATGCCCCCACAGCTATGCATGAGTTAACTGTGGGGGCACCACATGTCCCACTCACCATGCAACCATCACTACTGAAACGTCTCAGGCATACAGCTCTTAGCCAGGAGCAGCTTCAGCCAAGTCAAGCCAACTCAGGCAGCTCTGATGAAAGGTATATGAGGGACTGGCTATGTTCAAAATCGTCACCTGGATACCAGAGCTGTGAACGGCATCCTTCCACATACCCCAACTCTACTTGTAGTCCTAAATGTGGAGTAAAGGGAGAAGTTGGGTCATGGCCTCTTGACTAACAGCCCGGGTCTGACAGCGATTCCAAGTTCAGGGTGAAGATGAATTACATACACGGCAGACAGATGTTGCCTGAGTGATGAACGATTAGCCATTCTTAACATGGCTTCATGCTTGGAGAATGATCTGTGCTACGAAACCATATTTGAGGCGTTGGAGCTTCAGGAAATTCATCGCTGCAACATACAGCTATAACTTGTCAAGTAACGAGATACCAAATGAATTTCGTTCAGAAAGGGAAGAACGTAGTTCAAAGACACCAGAATGTCTCCAAACTGACACAGCATATTAAAAGAAATAATAGAATATTTCACCTACACAGACACAGGGCTGTAGCCAGGATTTTGTGGCTTGTGGGGCAAATTTTTTTTTTGAGTGGGGCTGAAGTTCTCAGTGCAGAAAGAAAAGCCATTTATTCAATAAAAAGGTGTTACCAGGATAGATCTCTAAATTGCAAGCTGTCAACCACTTTAGATGACAGTTCTCAGCTGCTGCAAGTTAATCACTTCTGCCAGCCTAAGCAACAATTCTGATCACAAGCCCGCAGCTGGGGGTGATGATTTCTATAGTCGAGAAAGCTAACACCTAGGCAGAAAAACACTTAAAGGAGACCAGTTTCTTGACACAGTTAGAAGGGATCCTAGAGGTCACCTTCTCCAATCCCCTTACTCAGTGCGGGAATTAGTCAACTACAGCACCCCACACTGCTTAAAGGAACGCACACCTTTAAAAATGTTTTTAAATGATTGAGGGGAAAACATTTACAGGAGAAATTCTTGTAAGGCTGTGCCTTTAAGAAAGGGGGCAGAGCCCCCAAAACCCCCACCATAGCTACGGGCCTGTACAGACATTTAGACTTTCAGGGCATCCGTCTTACTTACTCCCACTAAAGAACCATGGTGAGAGTGTCTAATTTTTTCCTTTTCTTGGACCTGTCTAGCCTTTAGTCAAGTTGAAAATTAAATCAACTGAAGGAACAAACAACAACTAAAATCATAATGCTTAAGCCTACCTACCCATCAGTGAGTGCAGTGCAACAGCTTTCCCAGGCCTATCAAAGCCTGTATTTTTTCAACAAATTATTCAAAATGTACAACTAGATCTTTGAGTTAATTCTGAAT